AATAAAAGTAGACGAGACATCAGATGGATAAATAAAAGTAGACGAGACATCAGATGGATAAATAAAAGTAGACGAGACATCAGATGGATAAATAAAAGTAGACGAGACATCAGATGGATAAATAAAAGTAGACGAGACATCAGATGGATAAATAAAAGTAGATGAGACATCAGATGGATAAATAAAAGTAGATGAGATATCAGATGGATAAATAAAAGTAGTCAAGACATTGAGTGGATAAATAAAAGTAGACTAGACATCAAATCATTGAGTGGATAAGTGAAAGTAGACAAGTCATAGAGTGGATAAGTGAAAGTAGACAGGACTTCAAACTGACTATTGACTTCACACACTCAGTTTAGATGGCTTGGAAAGTAGACAAGTCATCGAGTGGATAAGTGAAAGTAGACAGGACTTCAAACTGACTATTGACTTCACACACTCAGTTTAGATGGCTTGGAAAGTAGACAAGTCATCGAGTGGATAAGTGAAAGTAGACAGGACTTCAAACTGACTATTGACTTCACACACTCAGTTTAGATGGCTTGGAAAGCAGTAATAAATTCAGTTATTGGCATTAGTAATAATACCAGTCATATTTTCAAATTAATAATGAAAAAATGTCCTTTACAGAATGTTTATAAAACCAAACATTTTAAACAATTGTTTAACACTTAACATACACACATATATCACGTGTTTTATCAACTTACAGTCACATTTGTGAATGTTATCAAATACACAATAACTGATACATCAAACTATGGACAGTCTACATTAGACAACAAAACTCAGTACGCATACTCACAAGGCTGGTGGTTAACATTAATGTAAAGGCCACATGTGACCCCGATAAAATAAAAACTTATAATTATTATAATTAAGCATTTCAGCAAGTAAACCAAGCCAGGTGTGTAAAGGGTTACCATCCTTCTCTTATACAGTATTTGTTTACACAAATTAATTTTCGTGGTTCAATAAGACAACTTGGCTTTTCATTCACTAAAATCTTGTCAGAATTTCACCGTCAAACTGATATTTCATAGTTTACTTCATACCTATTCTTCTGTTCATCATGAATACTGTGCCGAAGGTTATGGTGACTACTAGCAGTAGCTAGTGGGGTTTGGTGTCTTGACTCTGACTTAGAAATGCTTGTTCCCTTACCCCCTTCATACTCAGACATTTCTAAGGCTTTCACAAATGACATGGGTCTACGAACGTGTGAATGGGTAACTTCAGAAGTTCCCAGTTCTGACAATGTTGGATCGGCTACACTAACGTAGCGACATTGATTATAAACTCTGGGGTAGCTGTTAACTACAGGCCAATCTGAACTATAGGAAACAGGAGCCTTGGACTCACCAGAAGAGTGGTACGTAAGAGGATGCCCCCCAGACTGCACACTACTTCTCAATGCAGGCACAAAAACAGTACACTCTGAGATGTCCTGTAGGTTAGTGATAACATGACTATTATTCCCACAGTGGTGATAGTTACCATTAGCTTCTTCAGATGCAATGTGAGCAAGCTCTCTTTCAACTGCTAACCTGCGATTGGGACTAATGCTCCTTGAACCTTTACGACTTCCTGCTATACCATAGTAGACCAGCTGAGTACGATGATGCTTACTTTCTGGTGGAGAACCAGGACTGGCTCTTTGAGTTGAACTATTTGTTGGACTTGACACCGGTGAGCACTTTACACTAGACCACATTGCTGTGGAGTTAAGGGTCCTATGGTTATCAAAAACTTCCACTGGTCTTCCAGAACTGTAAACAGGTTTGGCAGAACACTGCTGCTTTTGGATTGCTGTGGAGTTAAGGGTCCCATGGTTCTCAAAAACTTCCACTGTTCTCAAAGTCTGTGGAGTAGGTGGTCTTCCAGAAGTGTAAACAGGCTTGGCAGAACACTGCTGCTTTTGGATTGCTGTGGAGTTAAGAGTCCCAGGATTTTCGAAAATTTCCACTGTCCTTCCAGAAGTGTAAACAGGTTTGGCAGAACACTGATGCTTTTGGATTGCTGTTGAGTTAAGGGTCCCATGGTTCTCAAAAACTTCCACTGTTCTCAAAGTCTGTGGAGTAGGTGGTCTTCCAGAAGTATAAACAGGTTTGGCAGAATATTGCTGGTTTTGGTAAGTGAACACCAAAGATGGTGTCCTGGTTATTTCTTTCGTCTCTGGCAAAAAGAAGTTAGTCTTGGACCCTTGATGTGGCAATGGTGGAGATGGGTCACAATCCTGAGATTTACTCTGAGAAGTATCAAAGGAATCCATCGTGATATCCATATCTGATGTATCTGCAATTCCCGGACACATCTAAATAACCAAAGTATATCTTAAGTCTCCACAAGAGCACTAATATCATTTGTTTATAAGGGCATTAAAACATGTCTAAAACTACATCAGTTTAATGGTAAACATTATTAAAACTATACATAAACTTGAATTTAATTCCCTCTTCTTACAGAAGTGACCAAAGAATTGTTTACTTTCCCGTGTGTCAAGAAAAAATAACAAGTTAAACAAAAGCACTGACACTTTAAAAAATAGGGATAAGAGCAAGAAATTACAGACGTGACATAGGTAAAAGCCTGAAAATCCTTTTATACAGACTTTAACTTGAAGACCTCCAAAATATTAGTTGCAGTTACAGCAAACAGATACTATTATAACTTTTAAATCTTTTCCTCATCAGCCAATGTACCTTTTTTAGACAAAAAAGGACATCACGCTGCTAAACTTAAATGTGTGTACTTTCAGGGAATTGTGTCAAAACTGGTAATACACATAAAAATTATAATACAAGTTAAAAATACACTGTTAATTTGAAAACAACTGAAACAAACTTGATGTTCTTCCTACCTTTAACTTTAATTAAATAATTCAGCACAAGCAACATTGAAACCTCATAAAAAACAACCTTTTCTCCTAAATTAAAGCCAAGATGTAAAAAATACAGGAGTTGGTAGAAAGAAAATTTAATTTGTTCATCCAATCTAATTTAAAATACAACTAGGGTGAACGAGGAGAACTGTATAAACTGTAGTTTTAAATCACGAAACTAGAACTAGTGTATTGTCTTTAGATAAAAAAGTAAGACACTCACTTTGTTGTACGTATGGGTGTTTGAATGTCTCGGAGCAGCAGTCTTGTTTCCAACGTAAGTTTTCACCTGATTTTCAGACACAATTCCTGATACTGATCTGGGTGGCACAGACACTGCTTTGCTGCTTGAATTTTTGAATCTAAAATATGAGAAAATGTTATTAATAATTAATTTTTTTTTCAATAAATAATGTATAATAGCCAATTTTCAAAAATATAAAAAAATTAAATTCTAATGAGAAAATGATCTGTTATAGAAACTAACATGATTTACAAGCTTTCTCAGATGATAAAAAGACGTTTATTCTCTTGAACTTCAACCCATGTGAAAGACAAACAGTGACAAAAAATTTCAGGTTCTCAGGAGCTATTTATCAGAATTTTATAAGGAATATCTTAACAGATTATCAAGAATTTACCTAAGAAATTATCTATTTCAAGCCAATATTTTCTGTATAGATGTGTTTTATACTGAATGCAAGAAATAATTGGATTCACAACAATGGTTTACGTACAGTTGTGTTTAGTAGATAATACAAGACACAACCTTGTACAATGTAACATTTTCTGTACATCTTATACAAAATACAAGATACAAACTGGTTTAAACAACCGTTTTCTCCATAGTTGTCTTATACAGAATACAAGATACAAACTGGTTTAAACAACCGTTTTCTCCATAGCTGTCTTATACAGAATACAAGATACAAACTGGTTTAAACAACCATTTTATCCATAGCTGTCTTATAGAGAATACAAAATATAAACTGGTTTAAACAACCGTTTTCTTCATAGTTGTCTTATAGAGAATACAAGATACAAACTGGTTTAAACAACCATTTTATCCATAGCTGTCTTATACAGAATACAAGATACAAACTGGTTTAAACAACCGTTTTCTTCATAGCTGTCTTATACAGAATACATGATATAAACAGGTTTAAACAACCATTTTCTGTATAACCCAGATTAAAATAGATATTTTTTGAATCGCTGCATTTCGTGTCAAATTTGCTGAAGAAATAATATGGTTTAAAGTGACTTTCTTAGATTCACTTCCTTTAAGTGTACAATAACTTGATATGTTTTTGGCCCACTTCGAGCGAAAAGATGAAAATAAACGTTTTTTGCACATGTTAAAGATTTCTTTGGGAAGACTTTGTTACGGTATCAGAAGTTCACAATTCAGTAGTTGGAAAATTAGTATTATGTCCCTAAAGTCAAAACTTGTATCTAAACAAAAACAGGACACCAAAAGTTTCTAAATAAATTATCATATGAAATTCTTTACTCACCTAGGATATTGAGGTCCAAGCAACATGAAACAAATGTTGGCCCAGCCACCCCTGGAAAATGGGTTATAACCTCCTCGAAATTTCCCTGTTACCTAACAAAGTTTTAAATGTTCGTTACTTTCATGCTACACTAATAAAAAAAAAAAACCTGATATATAAAAAAACAGGAAAGTACAAATATATATTTTAGGTGTCTTCTTCCTTCACAGTTATACAGACTTGTTGTTCAAGTCTTGAAAAAGTATTCGTAATGTCACATTTTGTAACAGTTCAAACATTGATTCTAAAGTATTCTATCACTGGAAAATTTAAAGTGTTCGTAATGTCATGTTTCGTAACAGTTCAAACATTGATTCTAAAGTCTCTGTATATGATCAACAATGAAGCTAAATTCTCAAAATATCATATATATTTCAGTAAACTGAAATTAAACAGAAAAACAGGATTGATGATGGTAACTCATTACTGAAATTATGATAAAGTGTTTTAAATGATTTTTCACAGATAACTTTAAAAAAAATGAGTTGATTTGTATATATACTTGAGACATTTCTTCATTACCACAAGTAGTAATGCTAATCCTATACACGAGTCCACAAGAATGTTGAATTTACTAAGTGTATCCTCATAAAATCTGCCAAGCTTTTTATTAAACATTTCACATTTGTTCTAAGTAAAAAAAAAATCAAAATTTTTAATAAAGATTTGCCCATGACTCTACAAAGCTTTCAATGAGTCAGCCCAAGCTAATGGTGATTTTCAGGCTAAGAATAAAAAAATTTTTTTTCCACCTTGCATTTCATTTGCATAATCTCTAGACCCCCCCAAATGAATTTTAAAGTTGATATAGAAGAAAAAATACTCTTTCTATTGGTTATAAACATGACCTTCAAATGAGGACGTGGTTTAGAAAACTGCACTGAAAGCTATGGAAAGATGCGAGGGCTTCTCCAGTAGGTTTGACAAACTTGTCGATGTTATCAGAAAATCGAGAAGTTACGCGGTTCAAATTTTATATTAATGCTTTCCATAACATATAGTTTGTGTTTCTGATTGCTCGACCACTCTGACTGCTATAATGGAGAATTCTGAGAGCATAGGCCTAAACACGTGACACGGAGAAGTGAGGACTGAATATATTCGAAAATATTTCTTTTTGAAATTAAGCCTAACATTACATACTAACGTGAATGATAAATTACTTTCGATGTCAGGTTGATTGATAAATAAAGTTATCTAATTAAATTTTGTAAAACATCGGGACATACACAGTTTAACTCAGCAATGCGTCTAGTGTTAATTCAACATCAAACTTGTATAGCTTATCCATTAAAATGTCTTTTATCTTTCTCTTTAAAACAGTGAAGTAACTAAGAGACCTCTAGATAAAACCTTTATAAACACAAGTTATGAATCCACTAATAAGCCTTAACTTACGTACTTGAGGCTAGTACATAGATAACCCTAACTCGGTCATATCAGTAAATAACTGTTGACTATTTCTAATTGATAAATATTATCAAGTATTCCCTATAGCACTCAACATCGCCCTGATATATATTTATATCCTGGTGTATCTCTAATATAAGTAGTAAATAAAACTGTTCATAATTACGTGGTTTATATCGATATATTAAGAGCCAAGTAGTGATTTGATGTTAGCAAACATGTTTAAGTTTAGGGAAAGATTCTTAGGCATAGAAATGGTTGTGTGACCCAATTAATCAACTATCCTAGACAACACTAGAATTTTAGTGTGCATCTGAAGAAAGATTTATTTGTCTGTTATTAAGCACAAAAGTTACACAATAGACTATCTGTGCTGTGCCCACTACGGCTAGAGAAACCCAGTTTTTAGCATTATGTCTTCAGACTGAGCCACTGAAGGTCCTGTAGAAAGAATTAAGTGGTAAATTCTTAAATAAGTCAAACATATATTTTATTATATTTAAAAATGTTCAGTTGTCGAGAACATCAGGTTACATTTGACGTGTTATAACAATACACTCCCACACAGTGACATTAATTGTTGTTCTGTTTCCCCCCAAAAAAAACTCGATATGAAAGGACATTATTGAAAAGTTTTACATTCCATTGTTGTTCTTCTGTTCCCCAAGTGATTGTTTTTATTCTTTTCTTGATTGTGCCAAACTTTAGTTCATTCACCAAAATCTGATATATTTTGTCTTTGTTAAGACTAAAATTTATCCAGTAAAAAAACTCCCAAAAGAATTTCAAACTATTTACAGTGAAGTGTTGTTGTCAAAATGTCTAATATTTCTAGTCTGGTAGTTAAACGTTTAGCCAAATAATGAAAGAGGACAAAATATGCAACAGATGTTGACTGGTGCATAAAACTCTCACCTGCTCATTTGTAGTTCTTCCTCTGGAAACGAGCACCAAATGAAATCCCGTGAGACCCAAAATTGGGATGAACACAAGGAAAATTACACCAATAACCACAAATCTTGAGAACAAGTCAAGGCAAAGGTTATATATATCACAGCTTGTTTTGATGATACAAGGTTTAAAAATTGTATTAAATTAAATAAATATGACAACTTCCAAGTGAATACTAACTACCCATACAACAATATTTGTTTAAATAGATTTTTTGAAACAGTTACTCATTTATCTTTCAGTCATCAAGACGCTACAAGCAATGCATACATTCTTAAGGTTTGTTTTGTTTGTTATAGATTTTGCGCAAAGCTACACAAGGGCTATCTGCACTAGCCGTCCCTAATTTAGCAGTGTAATACCAGAGGGAAGGCAGCTAGTCATCACCGCCAACTCTTGGGCTACTCTTTTTACCAACGAATAGCGGGATTGACCATCACATTATAATGCCCTCATGGCTGAAAGGGCGAGCATGTTTGGTGTGATGGGGAATCGAACCCGCGACTCGCAGATTGCCGGGCCACATTCTTAAAGTATATTAACTCAATAAACAGTTACACTAAGGCCACTTTAACCCGAAGAATACGGTTTGACAAGCCATACAGTCTCTATTAACCGGGGCCTTTAAATCTATGTTTACTAAGTTTATTTGTTGTCAAAGTACTGCTTCGACAAAGGATACGTGACGATAGCTGCAGGATCAGTCAGCCGTCCTTTGTGATCTAGGGTGAAAATGATACATGTTGACAAGATGCTGATTATGTGAATGCTAAGAAAGATAAGAAAAAGGAAGAAATAGCGATAATTTCTCTTCCCTATACAGTTGTTAACCCACGGACAATGATGGTCGAAACTCTGTAAGAAAACGCAAAACGTTACTGATAACGCATGTATAAAAAACACATAATTCTAGTTTCTCAAGTTCAATTCAACATTTGTTTTTTTTTTGATGATTTAATTTTTCATTGTTCATATCACAACTACTGGAAGGAATATTTCAAAATATTATTTCTTTACAAACAACAAAAACTAAAAACCAGATTATAACATCAATTCTGTTAAAATAATTAAATAATTAGTTGTGAAAAATCTATGAAAAAGTGAAAGGCAAATTTACTTCAAAAAATTTATACTGAAAACAGAATCTTCATTAACAAATTAATTTACACTGGAGTATTAATTACTTTTAGCAGTAATGTTATGTAAACTGTGAAATTATAATATACAGTACTGTACAAAAGTGTTAGGACAAGATAATATTTGGTCATTCTTTCCATTTTATGAGGCTAATTATTCAATGTCATTACAGAATGCAAATTTCAACACTATTGTAATGTTTCACTGATCCCTATTGACAACTGAATGAGCCAGGGTGAGAATCCTTATCATTTTTTAGAATTCCCATATACTTGTACCAAGGGCATGTCATAAAGGTTCTGCTCGAATTGACGTACTGATCAAATTTAGGGTCTGAAATAACTGTCGTGGTACCCCATGCAGTGTCTTAACTATATAGAAAGGAGCTAGCAAAGAGGTAGCATATGGTATCGGTATATGCTAGAAGAAATCAATTTAATAGCACCCTACAAATAAACCTT